GTTGGGGGGGAAAAGAGGGAAGAACGGCGAGTGTCGGTGCTGCGCGCTGGCCGGCGCTGGCGTGCTGGGGAGAGTCGGGATCTGTCACCACTGCTTAGCTCCACTTCCACGCACGGTCCGCAAACAGGTGTCGATTCTGTTGCATTCCCGAGTCTTTGGTCTGACATGCCACCCCCTGACAGGTATTGTATTTTGAAACCAACTTCGCTGTTGTTCCTCCTTTCCCTCCCGCCCTCCCCTGCCCCGTGCACCCGCAGTGACTCCCGGATCCCGCACACCGTTCCCATCTGTAACGCTTTCTGATCCTAACGGTGTGGCTATTGGTCCCTGTCCTGTTGCTAGCATTGTGCCTGTCTTATGTATAATCACATCACCAAAAAAGGAAAAAAAATACAAAGGACATATTTTTTTTTCCATTTTGTAATCGTAAAGAAATAGTAGCTAAACTGCTTAATGGTTGGGGTTTTCACAATTTTCAACATTATCTAGTGTTTTTGGTTCTGTTCTAGTTTAAAGGATTTGTCATCGTTTCTTTAAAAAAAAAAAACAATGCTACCATATCCCTCTGCATAAGTGCTTTTCTATTTATAAGGTTGAAAATTCTGAATAACCCTTTTAGCATTATAAAAACCACAAAAAAACCACCTTGTATTTTGTAAATATTTTCTTTTCCTGCTTTGAGCTGTGTAATGTCCTTGTTATATAGAAATGCTTTTCTTCCGAGAAGCTGATCTTTGTTAATGTCTTGATTCTGTTGGCAAAGCACAAATGTGCTTATAAAAAAAAAAAAAAAGAAAAGATTAAAAAAAAAATTAAAACAGAATATCGTACGCAAAGTGTGTTTGTGAAACACGGGGTTGGGGGAGCGGAGCAGCGTTGCTCGCGCTGATCTCTGGCAGATCAGCCTCTCCCCTAGCACCGCACGGCTGAATGGCCTCTTTTTCCTTTTAAGCCGTTAGTTTCTAGCAGTTATTGTCAATTACTGAAAAGAGGATTTGTTCACAGGATCTCCAGATTTAGGCTTAGCGCTGTGATATACGTGTGATCACACAAGCCTGGGGCTTGGTGGTGCTTCCCTCAAAGAGCTCCTGAAACGCGAGTTCTGCCTCTCGTCCCTGAGTCAGTCGAACTGGGGGCGGGTGAGGAGGCTTTTCTGATTTTGGGGGTGGGGGGGTTAGCTGGTTGCTGCTGATCCCTGCGGCGGAACGCTTTGTGTGAGCCCTGGGTCTCCGTTGCGGTACCTGCAGCGGGTTTTGCTGTGGAACTTGGATGTTGTTTGTAAGAGGTGGGTGGTGGGAGGCGACTTCCTTGGATGTTCTTAACTTCCCAAGACAAGAGACTATACCTTGTTCCTTGTTATCCATGCGGATGGAAAACAGGAAGCTGTTGGCTGAATATTAGCCAGATGATCGAAGAAGTAGGAGGCAGCAACCTGTACATCACTGGTTTATTTACAAGTAATTAACAGAGGAGGAAAGATCCAATCTGAAAAGCAAACCGTGGTGGCCGGCAGTGGCGCAGGCAGCTGTGCCGGGCTGGCTGGGGGCAGGAAAGCTCCTTAGGGTTTTCGGACGTGCACAGAGCAGCTCTGTCCCTCGGAAGGTGCGCAGCAATCAAAAGGGCCCTTTAGTGCTGCTTTGTGGCTTCTAAAGTGCTTGGTAGCTGCAGGATCTTGAGCTGCAAAAGCTAAAAATGTAATGGGTCGGAGGAGGGCTGGAATTATTACAAGGGGGAATAAGGGAGTCACTGTGGAGTCAAAGCTCTCTCTGAGGTTTGCTCTGAAAAACCCCACTGTTAATCTGTGCCTATGGGGTAGAGCTGTTTTTAGGCTCACTTTGCAGTTGAGGAAATGTCCTGTCCGTGTTCGTACTATGCGTCTACAAAAGCCAGAAATAAAACTTGGGCTTCCTGGCTCCAGGGCCTTTGCGCTGACCGGCCTCCCTCGGCCCGCGGAGGGTCGAGCCTTGCTCCTTCCTGCGCCGGGGACAGGCGTGCCGCAGGGACAG